TCCCTGATCCCATTTTTGGGGTCGCTGAGTTGATTTTTGGGGTCCCTGATCCCATTTTTGGGGTCGCTGAGTTGATTTTTGGGGTCCCTGATCCCGTTTTTGGGGTCCCTGACCCCATTTTTGGGGTGCCCAGGGCCGTGCGGAGCTGCCTTTACCAGGTGCTGGAGCTCTGGGTGCAGGGGGGGGTTTGGGTGGGATTTTGGGTTTTTTGGGGTGGATTTTGGGGTTTTTAGGGTCCCTGATCCCATTTTTGGGGTCCCTGAGTTGATTTTTGGGGTCCCTGATCCCGTTTTTGGGGTCCCTGACCCCATTTTTGGGGTGCCCAGGGCCGTGCGGAGCTGCCTGTACCAGGTGCTGGAGCTCTGGGTGCAGGGCGGGTTTTGGGTGGGATTTTGGGTTTTTTTGGGTGGTTTTTGGGGTTTTTGGGGTCCCTGACCCCATTTTTGGGGTCCCTGAGTTGATTTTTGGGGTCCCTGATCCTGTTTTTGGGGTCCCTGACCCCATTTTTGGGGTGCCCAGGGCCGTGCGGAGCTGCCTTTACCAGGTGCTGGAGCTCTGGGTGCAGGGCGGGTTTTGAGTGGGATTTTGGGTTTTTTGGTGTGGATTTTGGGGTTTTTGGGGTCCCTGATCCCATTTTTGGGGTCGCTGAGTTGATTTTTGGGGTGCCCAGGGCCGTGCGGAGCCGCCTGTACCAGGTGCTGGAGCTCTGGGTGCAGGGCGGGTTTTGGGTGGGATTTTGGGTTTTTTGGGGTGGTTTTGGGGGTTTTTGGGGTCGCTGAGTTGATTTTTGGGGTGCCCAGGGCCGTGCGGAGCCGCCTGTACCAGGTGCTGGAGCTCTGGGTGCAGGTGGCCGGCGCGGCCTCGGGGGTCCTGCAGGGCCCCGGGACCCCCGGCGAGGTTCTCCTGGCTCACCTCATCAGCGACATCAGCCCCCCCAGCGAGGGGGCCAAGGTGACCAAAAACCCCCTTTTTTACCCCAAAATTCCCCTTTCCCCCAAGAACCTCCCTTTTTCCTCAAATCGTCCCTTTTTCACCCCAAAAATGCCCTTTTTTACCCCAAAATGTGCCTTTTTTCACCCCAAAAATTTCATTTTTACCCCCAAATCTCCCCTTTTCCCCAAAACTGCCCTTTTTTACCCCAAAATTACTCTTTTTTGCCCCCAAACCTCCCTTTATCACCCAAAACTGCCCTTCTTAACCCAAAAATCTCCGTTTTCCACCCTAAAATGCCATTTTTTACCCTGACCCAAATCCCCCCCAAATCCCCCCAAATTCCCCCCTGACTCCAAAATCCCCTCCCAAACCCCCCAAAATCCCCCTTAAACCCCAAAATCCCCCCAAAATCTTTCCCCAAATCCCCCCTGACCCAAAATCCCCCTTAAACCCCTCCCAAATTCCCCTAAAATCCCCCCAAAATCCCCCTTAAATTCCAAAATCCCCTCCCAAATTTGCCCAAGATCTCCCTTAAACCCCAAAATTCCCCCAAAATCCCCTCCCAAATTCCCCCAAACCCCCCCCGAACCCAAAATCCCCACCCCGAACCCTCTAAAATCCCCCTTAAACCCCAAAATCCCCCCAAAATCCCCCCCCAAATCCCCCTGACCCCCATTTTTTGGCAGCTGCGGGCGGAGCCCAAACCCAGCGCCCCCAAAAGGCCGAAATTGGGGGAGGGGCTGGAGGGGCCCCCCCTGCACCGCAAGGGGGAACCGGCGGCCAACAGCGACACCTGCGCCGCCGCGCTGGCAGGTAACGCCCCAAAACCCCGAAATCCGCCCCAAAAATACCCAAAAACAGCAAAGTCAGCCCCAAAAATACCAAAAACTGCAAAACCCGCCCCAAAAACCACGAAATCTGCCCCAAAAATACCCAAAAACCCCGAAATCTGCCCCAAAAATACCCAAAAACGGCAAGGTCAGCCCCAAAAATACCAAAAACGGCAAAATCCGCCCCAAAACCCCGAAATCCGCCCCAAAAATCCCAAAAACGGCAACGTCAGCCCCAAAAATACCAAAAACGGCAAAAACCGTCCCAAAAACCCCAAAATCCGCCCCAAAAATACCCAAAATTCCCGAAATCCACCCCAAAAATACCCAAAAACGGCAAAATCCGCCCCAAAAACCCTGAAATCCGCCCCAAAAATACCCCAAAAACGGCAAAGTCGGCCCCAAAAATACCAAAAACTGCAAAATCTGCCCCAAAAACCACGAAATCCGCCCCAAAAATACCCAAAAATGGCAAAATCCGCCCCAAAAACCCTGAAATCCGCCCCAAAAGTACCCAAAAACGGCAAAGTCGGCCCCAAAAACACCAAAAACGGCAAAATCCGCCCCAAAACCCACGAAATCCGCCCCAAAAATCCCCAAAAACAGCAAAGTCGGCCCCAAAAACACCAAAAACGGCAAAATCCGCCCCAAAACCAGCAAAATCAGCCCCAAAAACCCCAAAATCCGCCCCAAAAATACCCAAAAACGGTAAAATTGGCCCCAAAAATACCAAAAACCCCGAAATCTGCCCCAAAAATACCCAAAAACCCCGAAATCCGCCCCAAAAATACCCAAAAACGGCAAAATCAGCCCCCAAAACCCCGAAATCCGCCCCAAAAATCCTAAAAACTTAAAAGTCAGCCCCAAAAACGGCAAAATCCGCCCCAAAAGTCGCTAAAAACGGCAGAATCAGCCCAAAAACGGCAAAATCTGCCCATAAATGGCAAAATCAGCCCTAAAAACCCCGAAATCCGCCCCCAAAATCCCCAAAAACGTCAAAGTCAGCCCCAAAAATCCCCAAAACCATCAAAATCAGCCCCAAAAATCCCAAAATCCGCACCCAAGAATCCCAAAAACATCCTCAAAAATCCCAAAATCAGCCCAAAAAACAACAAAATCCCCAAAATCCGCCCCCAAAATCCCCAAATCCGCCCCAAAAATCCCAAAATCCGCCCCAAAAACAATAAGATCAGCCCAAAATCCCCCCAAAATCCCCCCAAAAATCAACTCGGGGCACCAAAATCCCCCCAAAATCAGCCTGGGACCCCCAAAAAATCCACCCAGGACCCCCAAATCCCCCCCAGAACTCCCAAAATCCCCCCAAAATCCACCCCAGGACCCCCAAAATCCCCCCGGGACCCCCCAAAAACCTCCCGGGGGGGGTCAGGAATTGGGGAGGGGTCCCCAAAATTGAACCCCCCCCCCCAAATTTGGGGGTCCCCCCCAGCCCTGCGCAGGATCGTCCTCACGGGGGGACCCCTGATCAAGGAGGAGACGCACCGGGTGAGAATTTGGGGAGATTTTGGGGGATTTGGGGATTTTGGGGAGATTTTTGGGGTATTTCAGAGGATTTTAGGGGGATTTAGGGAAGATTTTGGGGGGATTTTGGAGGATTCTCTTGGGATTTTGGGGGGTTTTGGGGGGATTTTGGGAGAATTTGGGGGATTTGAGAGGATTTTAGGGGAATTTTTGGGGGATTTGGGGGAGTTTGGGAGGATTTTGGGGGATTTTGGGAGGAATTTGGGAGAATTTTTGGAATTTGGGGGAATTTGAGAGGCTTCTGGGGGGATTTGGGAGGAATTTGGGGGGATTTGGGAGGATTTTCGGTGTTTTGCCCCAATATTTTATTTTCTCACCCCAAATTTTGGGTATAACCCCCCAATATTTCAATTTCCCACCCCATTTTTTCTCTCTTTTCCCCCCCAATTTTGCCCTTTTCCCCCAAAATTTTCCCCTTTCCCCCCAAATTTCCCCCATTTCCCCCC